TTGAAATGAATAAAACTAAAAAAAAAAGACCGTACCCTTTTATGTAATGATGTTTACTTTGAATTTATATTAGTTCACACAAACACTCCATCCATGCTTTTGTTCCGGCCCTCTGGTCCAGTTTAAGAACCCATTGTGGCCCCCGAGTCAAAAAGTTTGCCCACCCCTGGTTTAGTCCCATCACCATCCCTATACTCTACTCCACCATCATTTCTCCCTCTCCACTACCCTCTCCCTTGTCTGAGCTGCCATCATGTCTTCCCTGGACCACTGAGTAGCCTCTCCACTACCCACAACCTGCCCCATAATCTACCTTTTTCACTGTGACCACAGTAGTATCTTAATGCAAATATGCTCCTATCACCCACTACTAAAAATGTTTCCCCTTTAGGCACATCTTGTTCTACACCCAGCCTCCGCCTCTGTGACCATCTTTCAGGACCCCCAACACCCTCTACATCTAGTTAATTGCGCCTGTCCCTTCTGTTCATCTGTCGCTTGCTCAGGGAACCCTCCCTGGTCTCCTTGACAAGGTCAGATCTCTCAGTAACAAGCTTTCTTAGCACTACACACTTCTCCTTTGCAGCATGTATCAGAATCTCCAACCTTCCATTCATTTCTGTGATTACTTGCCTAGCATCTGCCTCTCCACTCTTCCATGATGGTGGGCCAGTACACTGACTGGGTGTGGGTGTAGGAGTGATTTGTACCTCTGCAAGACTCCAGTGGTGTAAATGCAACCACAGCAGATTTCAAGCTACCAACAATTGTGGCTCACAAAATCCCTGGAAACTTAATAATCGGCTCTCATGGGCTGGTATGAGCTAGCTTTAGGAAACCAGTGGGGCAGGCCTTGTATTCTATGATCAGTAAGATAACTGAAGGGCAATAAATATTCGGTGAAGGAAGGAATGAGCAATGCTGAAATTTAAATGAACCTCAGGACGACAATTGCTGTTTCCTGAAGATAAAAGATTTTGACTACTTTAAATGCCCAAGAACAGAATAAGGGAATCATGTCATTTCTGTTCTCTGAGGACTATTTAGATATTTACTTAACAAACATGTCTATATTGGGCACAAATCCAAGTGCTTTACAAATACTAACTCATTTAATCTTCCTAATAATTAAAAGGTAGATTCTATTAGTATCTTCATTTTACAGATAAGGAAACTGAGGATCAGAGTAATTTGCCATCATGGTGCAGCTGGGCTTTGAACCCAGGAAGTATGACTGCAGAGTTCACATCCCTAAACACTATGCTGTGTTACATCAGGACTAGCTCTGGAATGAGATATGGCCCGTATTTCCCTTGCTCCACCCTGAGGACATGAGTAGGTGATTTTCAGGTCATTGCACCTCAACAAAGAAATAACAGAATGGAAAGGGTCCAGAAATGTGCCAACATGATGGGAAATGTGGGCTCTTCTGGATAAGGACAGAGTAAACAGATTAAGGCTTCTCAAGAAATGGGCTTTATATACTTACTAAATTCTAATAGGAGGAAATTGACCTGGTCAACTTTCATAAAGAGAAATATTAAAACTTGAGAGGTGAGTTTGGGACATTAGTAAATGCACTATGTCCTCTAAATGTAGTCTCACTTCACCTCTAAGACCATCCTAAAAGATGAAGATAGTCAGGACCATTTTAATGAACCAAGGGCACCAAAGGTTAGAAGTTAAGGGATATATATACCCAGGCCACAGACCTACCCATTGGCATAAATGAGCCCAGGTCCCCACCAGAGGATGGTCAGCCTCCACCTTCTCATGCTGGTTCAATGTTACTTCCCAAGCAGGTCTCACAGAATCACAGCTGTTCAGAGGAAGTCAATTCCTGGAGCTAATTATGCTGAGCAGCAGTACAAGGTGAAATGTAATTAGATTCAAAGGAGGTTTACACTGATTCTGTGGTGATAGCCTAATATTGCAATAATAAGAGTTGGGAATGTGTTTCTAACTTTTGATGTGGCTGTTCATTTAACAAAGGAACTCCTAGGTACTAAATGCCTACAGTGTACAGGGACTGCCAAGGTTAAAGATGAATTCCTTCCTTTATTGCCCATTCTGTATGCAGCATTGAGAATCATCCCAAAGGAAATGAAAGCACTGATGTGGAATTTTGCATGGGAGAAAAATGGCACTAATATAGAAGGAAAGGCAAGGACATTCAGACTGTGGGGTGATTCTGAAAGCCAGGGTCCTCAATTTGATTTTGTCCTGTAGGAGAAGAATGGCCAATGAAGACTTTTTAGTAAAGGATTGACATCATCGTCATCATCACCACAATAAAAATAATAGCTACTATTTACAGAGCACCTACTGCCGACCAAGGCTTTTAGCCCCCATACCCACCCGCTGAGGTAAGAACTAATATTAACCCTACTTAGCAAAGAAGGGGCCTGAAGCAAGGGATACCACATAAGGGGCAGAGCCTGAATCTGAACCCACATCTGCCTGAATTCTGTTTACTCTCACCCTAACACTCTGCAGTAGCTTTGCTTTTGAACACATCCAGGACAACACATGGGGATATAGGTTAGGGCAGTGGTCGGCAAACTCATTAGTCAACAGAGCCAAATATCAACAGTACAACGACTGAAACTTCTTTTGAGAGCCAAATTTTTTAAACTTAAACTATATAGGTAGGTACATTGTTATTAACTTAATTAGGATACTCCTAAGACTTAGGAAGAGCCACACTCAAGGGGCCAAAGAGCCACATGTGGCTCTCGAGTCACAGTTTGCTGACCACGGGGTTAGGGAGCCACCAGCATTTAGTTGGGTGGTTGAAGGCATGAGAAAGACCAAATTTAAGAGGAGAGATAGGAAGACCAGAGAAGCAGGGAAAGAAACTGCAGCTGAAGCAGGCAGTGTTAAGGAAATCATGCAAGTGCGAATTTTAAGAAGGAAAGAAGGGAATAACAGTGCAGAACGCTACCTAGAGGTCAGGCAAGATGGGGATGGACAAGGAACTATAGGCTTTGCCAAATTAAAAGGGCTTCCGGGATTCACAGACAGCATTTTCAGAGGAGTGGTGGGGGTGGGTGCCAGATTGCTGTGGGCTGAGAAATGAGTGGGAGGTGAAGATAGGGCTGGCAGCGTGTAAACTTACTCTTTCAAGAAATATGATAGTGAGGGGCAGGGGAGGGAGGAGACCTGAAAGGGGAAGATGATGGAAGGAAGGGTTCTCTAGGGGGATAGAGATGGGAAGAGACTTGAGCAGTTGTAAGCTAGAAGGATAGGAAATGCTGCAAGACAGGGAGGCTCTCTCTGACACTGCCCCAGAGGAATGGAGAGCACAGTGGGTGGCTTAGTGAGAGCTCACTTGGCTGGACTTCTCCAGGGATGGGAAATGATGGAGGTGGATCTGATTATCTTTGTAGCCCCTTGGAAATCTGACATTCTTTCCCCTTTCTTCTTTCTCCCTTCCTCCCCTCCTTCCTCTTTTGCTCTTCCACAAATATTTACTGAGCACCTACTCAGTAAATATGCTAGGTCTTGTACTAGGCTCTGTGGCTATTATAATAAACAAAACAATGTACAGGGTGAGGCAAAAGTAGTTTTACAGTTGTTTGTATGGAAAATAATACAAATATGCAAATAGACCGAATGGCGGAACAACCAGTCACTATGATGTGCACTGACCACCAGGGGGCAGACACTCAACGCAGGAGCCGACCCTGGTGGTCAGTGCACTCCCACAGGGGGAGTGCCGCTCAGCCAGAAGCCAGGTTCACGGCTGTCGAGCATGGTGGTGGTGGGAACCTCTCCCACCTCCACAGCAGCACTAAGGATGTCCCACTGCCGGCTTTGGCCCACTTCCTGTGAGCCTAAGCCGGCAGTCGGACATCCCCCGAGGGCTCCCAGACCGTGCACCGGGCCTCTAGTAATAAATAAGAATACAAGAATAAACTCTGTGTTTCATGTACTCACAACTGTAAACCTACTTTTGCCCCACCCTGTATATCATCCTTACAATTGAATGGGGAGACCAGCATTAAACAAGGATGTGCACAAATAGTGTATGTGTGTGACTACACATTGTATGATAGTATTAATAATTGCTATGTTTACTGAGCACTTCCAAAATAATAAGCACTTATAAGCATTTCTCACCCCATAAGAAAGGCAGGTCAGAAAATAGAGGCACAGCGTGGTCAGATGACTTCACACAACTAAGGTAAGTGGAGCATGAGATCAACTTAGATTTGCCTGGCTTCTGGCAGGTGCACTTAACTGCCCCGACTCACTGTGTTTAGAGCAGTGGGCACCAGGATGAACAAGATCTGGAGGTGTCCCCACCCTCGGGGAGCTCACAGTCCCTGAGCATGGGGAAGAAACCAAGAGTTCATCACTCCCTTTTTCCTCCGAGTGTGGCCCCTGGACCTGCAGCATCCACAGCACCTGGGCGCTTGTTAGAACTGCGGAAGCTCCAACTCCGGACCAGGGGACTGACTGCAGTGTAACAAGACCCACGCGTGCTTGGTGTGCACTTTCCAGGTGGAGAAGCCTGGTCTAGAGCCCACTGCTCCGATTAGAGATGAGACACCCTGGCTCAAGCCTTTGCAGGTCAGAGATGGTGGAACTTCAAGGCTTGGTTTAGGAACCCAGCCTAGGCCTGAATGGGCGGTTCCACTCTTGTCCTAGGAGGCCAGCGGGTGGGACAACGAAGGGGAAGAAACGCAAGGTGCTCAGAGCATGCACGGTGCTCAGAGCATGCACGGTGCTCCATGGCGCTCAGCGCGCGTAGCGCTGTCGGTGCGCATGAGGTGCTCGCAGGCAGGCTCCGGGGCCGAGCCCAGCGGAGGCGGCGTGGGCGCCCTGAGGGCCTGGCCGCCGCGCCGCGCCCCCTTCCCCGCGCCGGGCCGGGTCAGCCCGGCCCCTCAGCTCCACCCCCTGCCTCCCCCTCCCGCCCGCTCGCGCCTCCTGAAAAGCCTACCAGCCCCGGGCGGCGGCGCAGAGCCGGCCCGGCGCACCAGGCAGCCAGTGCGGCCATGACGGCGGAGAAGGCGCTGCCTCTGGGTAACGGGAAGGCTGCAGAGGAGGCGCGGGAGTCTGAGGCGCCAGGGGGCGGCGGGGGCGCGGCGGCCGTGCGGGTCCCGCGCGACAAGGCGGTCCACGAGCGCGGCCACTGGAACAACAAGGTGGAGTTCGTGCTGAGCGTGGCCGGGGAGATTATCGGGCTTGGGAACGTGTGGCGCTTCCCTTACCTGTGCTACAAGAACGGAGGAGGTGAGGTGGCCGGCGCGCGCGGCCCTGGAGAGGGCGCGGGAAGGGGGAACCAGCCCAGTGGGTGCTGGGAGGCTGGGCGTGAGCGCGAGACCCCTCCCGCGCCTGCATGTAGCGGGGCCCTGAGGGGAATGCGGGCTCTCGGCCACCTGGCGCGGGAGCTGACCCCCGCCAGGCGCACCTGCCCAGCGCGCATGCGCACGTGCTCTTCGCACCTCCGTGAGCCGCCTGCCGGCGCCGCACGTGATGGCCTGTCTGCCGCCCAGTCCAGGAGCCTTTGCCTTTGCGACCTGTACTGCCTTTGGGGGCGGGAGACAACCCCTTGGAGCCTCCGCTTTGCTAACGGGAAACCTCCATGAGGAAAAGGAGCTGGGTTTTGAGCGCTTACTGAAACGCCAGGCTCCATACTGAGCATCCCGTTGAATCTGTAGACTCATCTCACCCATTTTGCAGATGAGGCAACTAAGGGTCAGAGAAGTCACTCTCTTACGAACTGTAATAAAGATGGCGTGCTGATACCAAAGGCCTTGTTTTTAAAGTAGGATTAGACGGATAACAGGGAGTACTTTTTGGTTAGGCTCTGCTGTTTGATTTCCTGCCCAGTCTTTCATTTGCTCTTAAGGCCCTTTCTATGGCCTCCTTCTGGGCCTCTCTGGTGGAAGAATTGGCACCAAGCAGTTTCCTTTACTGGTCTCACAATCACCCACGACAAATAAATAGTAACAACGTTGACTTATTGTTTAGGAGCTGCTTAGAGATTGGGGGTTGGGACCCAGGAAAAGAAGGTGATGAGATAATCCTTTGTAGTAACAACATTTCCAACTAAGTTTGGTGGAGATGCAGCAAGTGCATCCTCAAATCTCTCAGTTTAAGACATGGGCTCCAGACTCCAGGAGCTCCCACCTGTCATTATTATCAGAACAGCCAGCAGGTCTGAGGCAAAGGACCTTGTAAAACTGTATTGGGTGGCATAGTTTCCCCAAGACAAAGCCTGTATCTATGTATTCTTCTCCGTCTTTGCTGTTTCCCTGCCTCTCCAGCAGATCCCCAGACCTCAGTGAAAGTAGTTTGGAGTTGGCTGGCAGGGACCATGCTGTTAGGCTGTGTGGAGCAGGATTTGATGTGTGAGCAGCTGTAGGGAAAGCAGTAAGGGTACTGCTTAGCCTGAACCCTTTCTTTGGAGACATTCATCCTGAAGGCACAGGCTGCTCCATGCCTGCTCTACACTGGTGACGACGTGGCTGCTGGTGTAGTGGCGTGGCAAGGGGCAGAGAAGCAGTGGACTCCGGGACCCTGAATGTGCCTTGCACCCTTAGACATGGATCCCCCTTTTCTTGCAAATTCAGCCATCATAAGCTACATGTCTGCTTAGAAACATGTGCAAACCCTTTAGAATAGCCCCAGACAAAAATTGTTTTAGCATAATATTTTCATGCCAGAAATTTTTATGCCGAAACTAAAAGCATTTCTAAAAGCAGAAAGCAGGATAAGTTGGGTTCATTACAAGTTCTGCCACAGATTTAAAAGGTTGTGGTGAGTAAAGTTTAAAAATTAGTCTTTTTTAAAAACTAACTTTCCGAGATTCTCCATTGGGTACACAGATATCTTGATTTAATTGAGACCGTCACCTTAAGTATTACTAGCTTTGTGGATATATAGGCCAAAAGGCTTTTAAAAGTGTCATTTGTTAGGTTCTAGAGCAGTGGTTCTCAACCTTCCTAATGCCGAGACCCTTTAATACAGTTCCTCATGATGTGATGACCCCAACCATAAAATTATTTTTGTTGCTACTTCATAACTGTAATTTTGCTACTGTTATGAATCGTAATGTAAATATCTGATATGCAGGATGTATTTAGGGGACCCCTGTGAAAGGGTCGTTCGACCCCCAAAGGGGTCACGACCCACAGGTTGAGAACCGCTGTTCTAGAGGATTTACAGGTAAATTACAGCATAGTAGGAAAGCTGCTGCAGCTTGTTTTAATCACAAGTTTAAATTCAGCAAACACCCTCTTATCCCCTTTCAGACACTTTTGGCCTTCTAATATTGTTGGGGTATCTGTTTATCAACTGTTTACCTTTTTAAAAAATATCCACACAGCTCTACTCAAAGATTTTAATGGTAGTTTAAAGTATTTCTTTTCTAATGTGAAACTTTAAAAATAGTGTCTTGCACAGAAAAGCTAAGAACCTTTCAAAACCTGGTGGATATGGTTCTATTATCAGGATTAATCAAAATTGTTGCTATTAATCCTGCAGTTAGAGAGACTTCATTTAGCAAAAAGCAATTTCAGTTAAAGCCTTCATTTGTGAGATCAGATGGTGGGGAATGGCATGTGTTTTTCATGCTTTGTTATTAGAGAGAGAGAGAATGAGGGATTTGGAAAAATCCCTTTCTGGTTATAATAGCTCATGTTCACCTCAGTTATTTAATTTGTTTTACAGAAAGGCACAGGCAATGGGTATTGTGTTTCCAAATAGGAGCACTAAGGCTTATGGTGGTCTTTTCTCAGATTGATCCAAAGCCAGCCTTTCTGGACAGATTCTTGCTGCAAACTCTTTATAACTCAACTTCATACCTGGGCCTCAGGTATAGGCGCCTGATATTGCTCATTGCATATCTCCTTAAGATTACTTTTCTTTATGAAGAAGCTATTTTGCAGGTCATTTCCAAAGTACATAGAAGAAGGGGTCCCCTCACCTGGCCTTTTGAAGTTACTTTAGAATAAAAAGGAAGGATGCAACATTCAGAGAGAATGAATTTGACCTATGCTGGAGGGTGAAATGTAAAAACAAAAAAATCAAGCAATGAAACACTTTCTTTTACATTATCATCTTATCTACACAATAATTCTGTGAGATAAGTGGTGTAGATATTAGGTATTAAAGCCCCATATTACAGAGGAAGAAGTTGAGGCAGGGAGATGAGAGATAGATCACTCAGGGTAACAGGTAGCAGAGGGCACAAGCCCAGGCCCACATTTTCTGACTCTGGTCCTCATCCTGGCAACCTGAACTCAAGCTCAAAGAACATTTTGTCTTGCCTGTAGTAGGTGCTTAGTAAAGATTTCTTGTGCTGAACATAAAATGGTGGGAGCAATTTTAACCTCATTCCCATATTTTGCATTCTTGCAGGAGCATTCCTGATTCCCTATGTGGTGTTTTTTATTTGTTGTGGAATTCCCGTGTTTTTCCTGGAAACGGCTCTGGGACAGTTCACGAGTGAAGGTGGCATTACATGTTGGAGAAAAATTTGCCCTTTATTTGAAGGTAAAGATTGAGTTAATCAGAAAATAAAATTATGCCTGAGTGATGTTAGGTTATGACGAGTAGCTGAACTGTTTATGTGAGGTGGACAGAGATTTGAATCATTCCCTTTCCTTGTTCTTTCAGGCATTGGTTATGCAACACAGGTGATCGAGGCCCATCTAAATATATATTACATTATCATCTTGGCATGGGCCATTTTCTACCTGTGCAACTGCTTCACCACCGAGCTCCCCTGGGCCACCTGTGGGCATGAGTGGAATACAGGTATGCCCTCAGGGAGGGTCTCTCTTCTGGTCCTGCTGGAGGACCTGGAATTGGGGGTGTGTCTTTGTCCTGGAATCAATCCTGACCTCTGGGCTCTCTCTGTGAGTCCAGATTCCACTGAAACTGTAGGTCAGTTCTGCACTGGGTCTGGGTCCATGCTGTGGGTTGCAGTGCTGAAACCTAAGCTGAGCCCTGGTCCAGGAATTGGCATGGGTAGAAGATGATAATGCTTTTTCTTCGCTTTGCCAAATACAGAGACTGAGCCCTTTGGGGGCAGAGTTTCACCATGAGGGATTCAGACTCTAATTTCAGCCCTGCTTCTCTAGGCATTGGATTTTCCTTTGTGAAATGAAGGGGTTGCAAATGGGGCCAGTAAGCCAATTAGGCTTTAGGTCAGTGACCAGCAAATATAAAAAATTTATTTGACAGCTCAAATTGAAAAATCAGAAGACTTCACATGAAAATCCAGATTTCCAGCTTCTCTGGAAAAAATTGAAAAGATCTGGCAACACCAGACCCACATTCTTGCTTGGCAGCAATGGTTGCAGCAGAGAGGCAGCTGTTACCTTTGGATGAGGCCACAATCCTCACCCAGTCCACTTTGCTCATTTACTTTACCTGTCCAACACAGGTAGATATTTGAATTCACTATCCGACCCTACCGCTTGAATAAGTAACTTTTTAGATTACTTTAGATTCTAATTTGGTATTTGCTTTTCAATTTGTCATCCTTTCAGGACCCAGTCATAATCCAGAGAAGGCAAATTCATAGCAACTCATATCTGTGGTATCTATGCTTAGAGCAGACATCACTAATCAATTGTAGAACTCTTTCCTTTTGAATTTAGTGTTTACCTCAGAACCCTTCTCAGCAGTGCTCCAGGCAGCTACTGCCTTTTGACTGAAATTGACATACATGCTGTAAGCTATTTACCATCCCTGTAGTTAGGTTGTCCCTGGAAGCGGCCTGTCATCCTGAAGGCTGAATTATGGTGAAATTGGGTAGGATGTTGGTCACCAGCAGAAGGAACAGCAGGTATTAGGCCTAGAAAGTGCTATGAACTAGCTTCTAGCCCTGCATAGCTTTGCCCTGCTCCCTCTCCTGTTGCATTTTGTGGACTTTTCACTGTCTCTTTAGGGCCCTGGTTCTTAACCTTTCTTTGGCCAGGGATCTCTTAGAGATGTTTATCAAATTAAAATTCAAGGACATATTCTTGGAGGCCTGTGAGTCCTCCATGATAATTTAATTGTGTATATTTATTTTGAGGCTACTCTAAAAATATGCACAGGTTCTGGATCATCTGCGCAACACCTTATAACAGGACAGTCAGGATATTCAGTGCCTGACTTTGTTCGTGTTTACAATTAAAGATGTATTCTTGGTAAATAGGATGATGGCAGCCCAGGAGAAAAGAGCAGAGAGATTTAATTCATAAATGGTGCATTAGTACTAAATGAAATTCCAGTTGAGAACACCTCAAGTTATAGGAATAAAGGTTTTGCAAAAGCATGAACAGAGAAAGATGGTGATAGAATTGAGTCTCAAATAGTGCATGGAAAAATAGGCAAGCCAAGACCAATATAGACCCTGCCTCCTGCCTGTCAGTTCATTTCTGTTGAAATCCATTTTAACATTACAAAATGGCATTATCTTACACACCTGTTTTATGCTATCAATTTGAATTGTATTGGGTCTGTAGTTTAGTTGGTATTTATTGGTAAATTTAATTCTAGTTTTATAGTTGTATGAATGCTGTAATTACAAAGACTTTGTAACTCGTTATTTATTTGTGCTTGATTAATGATTATCTTAATAAAAATACCTTGTCAAACTTAAGTGTCTGAGAATGTGTTTTACTCTAGAAAAAAGAACTTTGAGAAACATCATTTTAGAGAATCGGACAAGCCTTTGACAGGGAAGTGGAAAAAGGGGAAGGAGATTCGGGAACAAGGCAGGGAGAAAGTTTGATAGGGCACATTGAGTGAGAATAAGAGAGAAAAGGCTCCCTGCCCCCCAAACTTTTCCTCCTGTTTGAATCAACCAGACCAAGCCTCTCAAACTGCAAGTTATTGATTTTACCCCCACTGTTCTTTGAGGCATGTTTACTTGGAGCAGTTGCTCCATCGGCTCTGAATGTTTTTCAAGACCCAGCCCTTGTGGAGGTTAATGTTGTATTTCTTGTCTTGTTTCCACTGTAGAGAAATGTGTGGAGTTCCAGAAACTGAACATGAGCAACCACAGCCATGTGTCCCTGCAGAATGCCACCTCTCCCGTCATGGAGTTTTGGGAGTAAGTGGAATCTGACTCATCTCCCTTGTCCTGTGAAGTCACCGTCCTTGTTCTGCTCAGTTAATATTGCCCTCACCCGTGGAAAAGGCCTGACCCTTCCTCCAGTCTTGCACTTCCTGGCGTCCGTGGGCATTTAATGGCGCTGGGAGCCAGAGTGGACCTCTTTAGAGGTTCCCCAAAGGGACAGCTGAGAGAAATGCCTTCTTGTTCTTTGATGACATGTCAGCATGCCTAGTTGCTTATTAGGGCAAGAAGTGATTGGTAAAATGATGCCCAGTTTAAAATGTATTTTTAACAAAAGAGAAGATGTTTGCAAAAATCTTAAGTCAAGAGTACATTTAGCCTGGAAAGCAGACCTCTCCAGGGGGAACAGGTGAGCTTTCTTTCTATAGCTGAAGTAGATGAACTTTAATGGATAGAGGTTATCGAGAGGCAGGTTTCAAATGTGCTTAAGGAAGAGCTTAGTCTCGCAGCATTGTCTGTAAGTACTTCTGAAAGTTGTGAGCACTCATCCCCAGAAGTGTTTGACCAGTGTAAGGCTGCTGCCGAGTGTTGTTGGGGAGGTGTCTGAATCCACAGACATTACAGGCAGTAATTGTGTGGGTGGGTGGGCATTTCCCGGGAGATGGGAATTTTTTATCTGTGTTCCAAAGGGGTTTATGACCTGGGAGTTACAGGGCTGCCACATATGGTTGTATTAGTTGTTCGCTGCAGACCCCTAGCGGGGCATTATGAACACTGTGGAGTGTGTGCTCCAGAATTGTGCAGTGTCAACCTGCATAACTGCACACGATGGCCCTGATTTAGGAGCATCTGCAGTAAAAGTGGGGTCCCTTTCCCACGGTGTTCAAGAGGCTTCCTTTGTGGGTCAAAGGCTGGCTGAATGCTTTCTGACTCTTTTTCATCTGAAAAAAATCTGGTTCATTGAAGAACCTCCGCTATCTTAATGCTCATTACTAGTAGCATAGAGGAGCAGTGATTTTATGAGTGATTTTTATTTCTTTCCCAGGTACCATTCCTCTCCTCCTCTCTTTAGAAGTCATTATGCTGAATTTAGATTTATCATTCTCATGTTAATGCTATATGTATATTCGAATCCCAAATAGTACCCAGGTCTTTCTTGTAGGTTTTAAAAGTTTACATTAATGGTAACCCTTACTTACATTTTTACAATGTTGTTTCTTTGCTCAATATTGATTTAAAGATGTGTCTCTATGATACGTGTAGCTTTGGTTCATTCCGTTTTTCCTGTTATATAGTATTTCAATGTATGAATAGACTTCATTGTATTTATATGTGGTCTGCAGAGGAGCAGCATTAGAATCGCCTGGTTAGAAATGCAAATTCTCCAGCTCTTCCCAGACCAAATGAGTCATAGTCTCAAAGAGAGGATCTATACAATATAGCGCTAGAGGGGTGGCTGCTGTGGTGGGTGGGTGGGTCTGTGTGGCCTTTTCCAGCCCCATCAGGTGATGATTTCTCAGAGGACTGCCACAGAAACTTCTTTTGGACCTGCACATTTGAGGATCTGTAAAACATGGTCTCTGTGCTCCCTTAGAGAACCCATCCTAAAATCCCACACTGGGCAAGGTCTCTATGTAATTACTGTTGTTTGCACCATTCATTTCCTTTGTAACATATATGGAAAACCTCAATTAAGTAATTATTTATGCAATATGCTTGTTTATTGTCTGAATTTCCCATAGACAGTCATGAAGCAGCGCCTTTTCTGGTTTTATTCACCACTGCTGGTCTATGGAAGGCCCCCAGTGAAGGATTACAGGATAAATGCATGAGAGACAGGCAGGGAGGCAGTATTTCCTAGAAAATACTACAAAAGAAGTGTCAAAGTGGGCTCTGGCAAGAATTCGTCTTGTCACTCAGCTCCCCAGCGACAGCCTTGATTACTTCCAGGATCCCTTTACTATCCATATCACCTACCCATTTGGACACTGCGATTCAGGAGGGGACAGTTAATCTGTGTCTGCAGGTGTCCCTGGACCTTTTTGCCTGCGACTGGGTCATTCAAGGGGAAAGTCCATGGGAGAATGAACCCAAGGTTCTAATTTTGTATTCATATTGCCTCTGTATCATCTATACAGTGTTGAATTCTGCATCCTAAAAGTCCTCAAATGCTGGTGTGACACTCACCCCTTCAGAAGGCGCTTCCGTAAGACAGCTCTAATTCATCTTTCCCCGGGAGAAGAGCTTGGAATGTAGAGACTCTGGGAGATGTGCATAGCATCCTATGAAAAACTATTTGGGCCACATAAATCTGAGAAGGGCTGAAAGCTACCTAACAGATAAAGAATATCTGTTATCTTTGATTAACCCAAATTTCCAAATGTATGTTCCAATGAAATCTTTTTCCACCCCCACCCTCACTCCCTGAATGCTGGCATTATACGACACATAGTCTGACAAATACTTTTCTAGGAGGAAGTTCTTCCTTAAGTTGAGCCGACAGTTGACTTCTGAAGCTTTGGAAACAACAGGCCTTATTCCTTTTCTATGTGACAGCCCTTCAAGTATTGGGTCAGGTTTCCTCAAAAACATTTCTTCTCTAGTTCTTTTGCTGTGGCTCACGGGTACCTCACCTCTGTTCACATCTTCAGTACGCCCGTTTTGTCTTTTTTCAATGCCTCTAACTCTGGGACCTCACTCAGGGCCACATTATTGGTCAGAGTAGACTGCATTGCATATTCATTCATTTGGCAAGTGTCTGAGCTCCTGGGGCACATAGGAAGAACACTGTGCATTTCAGGAGGAGGCAGAAGTATAAGATGCCGTTCTAACCCTCTAGAAATAGAGGTGAGACAGGCCTGCACAGATTACCATAAAAGTCTTTGTAAGGTGCTGCTTCTCCACCCATGGCCAGCCATGGCTTCACCTTGACCTTGGGCACCTGCCCCAACCCTATCTTGAGGATCCATTTCCTTTTCCAGGGTATAATTAAAATTACTAGCTTAGCCAGTGAAAACAGCTCAGGCCCTAAGTCAGTCCTGGATTCTGGCTCGAGCAGGGGACCTATGAGATAGGAGTGGCTTTTCTTCCTGATTGCAGATTTCAAAATTTGGCCATCCTAGTATCCCTTAGTAACTCACTGTGCATCTGGTATCCTTGCATTTATTTAAATATGTTTGCAGTTCTAAATTTTGAGCTTATGTCCTCTGGTGGGATTGAGTCCTAGTATGTGTGTAACCAGCATTGTGGCATCAAATGGACTTTGTTTTCATATTCTTTTCTCAGTCTCTCGGGTCCCTTTAGTGTAGGGTTTTGTGAGCAAGTTCATGCTTACTATGTATACAGTTGAAATCACTTATGCATGGTGTCCATTCAACAAATTCTTTTGAGCACATATGGTGTGCTTGGCCCGTATTAAGCTCTAAGGACTATATCTTTGTTCAAAAGGATGAGGTCTTGTTTTTCTGGTTTGTGTACACGAAGAGTTTTTCAAAATTTGTTTATTTTGGTTTCTGGCCAGTTTGGCTCAGTGGCTAGAGTGTCGGTCTGCTGACTGAAGAGTCGCGGGTTCGATTCGGGTCAAGGGCACATACCTCAGTTGCAGATTCGATCAGGGCGTGTGCGAAAGGCAACCAGTCAATGTGTCTCTCTCACATCAATGTTTCTCTCCCTCTGTCTCTCCCCCTCCCTTCCACTCTCTCTAAAAAATCAATGGGAAAATATCCTCAGTGAGGATTAAAAAAAAGAAAAACATTTTGTCTATTTCAGAGTCACGTGGCCACTTGAATTGCTTTTCTTTGGATATAAAACTGGGGAGGCAGACGAGCAAGAGTGAAACCCTGATTCTCTCTGTGAGCCCAGGCCCTATCCCTGCCTCTTTTTCTCACACTCCTCTTCCTCCCTGCCCATATCCTTCCTCTGCACTGGCCTTCTTTCTGTCCTTTGTTCATACTGGGCTTGTCCCACCCTCAGTCTCAGGCTTTTGTTGTCCCTTTGTTTGGAAGATTCCTCACCAGGTCCTTGTGTGTCTGGCTCCTTCTTATCATTTAGTCTTAACTCGAATGTCATTGGGAAGGCCTTTCTGCCAATTCAGCTAAATCAGCACCCTGCGCCTCTCAACCCACATCACTCTGTTTTATTGTCTACATAGTACTTAGCTGAAATCCTCAGGTCTTTGTTTGCTTGTCTATTTTCTCTTTCCCTCCATCCAAGTATAAGCCTCATGCCAGCAAGGGCAATTCTGCTTTATTTTCTATTATCTTGCCAGCGCTTTCTAGGTGCTCAATAAATATTAGTTGAAATGGATGAGTGGAAGAGTAAATGAGTGAATAATGGCTGTTTCTTAACCCCTGGGAGTTTATTTTCTTGTCTATAAACTGGTAATGATGATAACACCCACCTGCAAGGCTGAGATGAGGATTAAAGAAGTCCTCACCAGTACCAAGCCCAGCACAGTTTAGGTCCTTTGGGAAGGTTTGAATGCAGACAGAGAATGTTCGTGATTGACTCCACTATTTTGGGGATGGGGATTAGCCCTGTTTCCTTTGTTGCCAACCTCTCCGGATTGCTGTGAGGATAAAAGGAGAAAATGAGTACTAAGATCTTTGTTGGGTTGTAAATGAGGTGCCCAATTTAGTTGCTGGTACTGAGGCTAGGTGACCTGCTCGGCCCCTGCCTCTGCTGGTGTAGATTCATGACTGAGCCTTATTCAGAGTTGGCCTGTGTGTCTGAGTCAAAATCCAGCACTCTGTGGCACTATCTGCTTCTGCTCGTTTGGATTGCTCCACTCCTAGTATATCACTTCATTCACAGTAATACTTCTGCCACTTGCCCAGTGCACGAACATGGGCAGCTTGGATAACCATCCTGAACTTCTGTCTAGTCCTCCAGAAATAGGATGGTCATAGGACCTTCCTGTCAGGGTTGCTGAGAACATCAGATGAGGCCTGTATGCTTTGAACATGGTACATGTGTAATATATGGTAGTTAATTTTACAAGGAACACTTTATTCAGATCTTTGAAAAGTCTACATGGGTACC